ATACATACATACATACATACATACATACATACATACATACATACATACATACACACACACACACACACATACTTTGCTTGCTTGCAAATATATGCTTGCATATATTAGATTTTACAACCCCCGGTATGCCCAAATATGGGAGGAAGATCACTACTTCCATTCTCTGTCCTTCAGCTCGTCACAAAAGACCATCCAGGCAGAAACCCAGATATAGATATCAATCTATATCTGATCTCAGGATGGAGGATATCACTCAAAGGAAAAGAAAGGGGAGGGTCTTACATATTAATTCTCATGTCAAATTATTTAAATTAATGTTTTGTTAACCCATCTGCCCTCTCTTATACTGACCCATGAATAGTTTGAGAGTTGGTATACCTACGTATAAAACCAATATGCTCAAGTGGAGGCTCTTTGCAGGTAACAATATGCTGTATGAATGTGGAGAGACAAAGACTCCAGCCCATCTGCTGATATGTTGGCTTCTACCAGAAACATGTACCGATAATGACTGATTTTTGACCAACAACAAAACCAGGATGGTGGTTTTAGCAGTTTAAAGTTTGACCCAGATGTGGAAGAAGAAGAATCAATCTGTGCTAGGGAATCAGGTAGAGATCTAGGTCTTACACATGAATTTCATATTCATGTTCTATAAAACTAACAAATGGCTATTTATGAAAAAAGATTGTGCAGGGCAGCAAGTGTTAAGTAGTCTCTGCCTTTCTTTACAAAATGTCTCTTTTAGTTGAAATCAACTCAGTAGACTGGAAGAAAACGTCTTGCCTTTGGGAGGCTGGGGATTGATTCCCAAACCTAAAAACACGTAGCCAAAAAAAAAAAAAAATCCTATCAAGATGAAAACAATTAAGGGACCAGAAAACAGGAAAAAAGCAAAGTACACATGAGAAGCAGACTGGACAATGATAAACATTTTAAAGCCAACAACAGGAAATTAAAACCAGTATTGTCTGGAACAAGTCTTTAGTGTTTTCTAAAAATATTTAAAGAGGGAGCATAGCAGAAATGGAATTCTACAATCATGGGGCAACTGCTTATCGGCACGCTACTATGAAAAGGATCAAAAGCTGTGATCATTCTCATCTTATGTGTTGGATGGATTCATACCAGGAGACCTGCCTTTAAAACAATCCAAAGCTTATAGTCCTTTAGGCTGTTTAAGGTGAACGCTAGCCCTTTAAACTGGCTTGAGTAAGTATTATCTGGGTACAGATCTTATACACACACATACATTATTTCTTTCCAAACTGAGTGATACCCCCCCCCGCTTTTTTACAGAGACATTACGTAAATTCATACAACTAGTATGTACAGTATGTAGCTGATTTTATCAACCAAGATGAAGAAACTACCTGCATACGTAAGGATGATCTCTTATCTTCCAAGCAGATCGCATTCTCGGGTGAGTATTATAAAAGAGACTACCATAGAATGGGTAAATGGCGTGTTAAGACTCCCTTCTTACTTTGTGTTAAAGTTTTAAAAGGATATTATTGTATGAACTTCTACAAAGAGTTATCAGTGCAGGTGGACAGTTTGTTATGAATCTACGTAAGTTGCTTCATTCTCAAGAAATGGTGGGGAGGAAAGAAAGCATTAGAACAAAATAATTTCCATTTGCTGCTTTAGTCCTATTGTTTAAAAAAACCCAGCACAACCTGTTTATAGCAGATGGCCTCTGGGCAAGAATAGATGTATTGTGTCAGCATCATAACGTCTCCTATAGGCCTCCTTCCTTTTATACAGGCATCAAGACATTGCATGTATTCCTCAAAATGTGCAGGTTGCATCACAAGTCCACTTTCAACATCTATACATTTAAAAACATGTGTGTGTGTGTGTCAGTGGTGGGTTTCCAAAAAATTTGGAACCTACTTTGTGGGTGCGGCTTCCTTTGTGGGAGTGGCTTGCCGGCCATGTGACCAGGTGGGAGTGGCTTGCCGGCCATGTGATTGAGTGGGAGTGGCTTGCCGGCCATGTGACCAGGTGGGAGTGGCTTGCCGGCCATGTGATTGAGTGGGAGTGGCTTGCCGGCCATGTGACCAGGTGGGAGTGGCTTGCCGGCCATGTGATTGAGTGGG